AACTTCTCGAGCGTGATATCATTCACATAAAAGCGCGTGATGTTCGCGCACAATTGTTTGGCTGTTGGTATTGTGCACTTGTTCTTAGTTGAAAACAATTAGACCAAAGCGTGCTACGCGTGCCCTATATTTACTGGAGCGTTCTAAATATCTGAAAAGAGAAACAAATGCTCTGTGCTTGGTTTGATGTAACGTTAGTACCTTCATTATCTCTTCGCAAAAAATACGGACAGATTTAAGCGACGCCAGGTCCAAGAGTTTGATCACTAGCTCCCCTTGCTCTGTTCCGGCCTCCTGCTGGATCTCCTGGGCTACTTTCTCCGCCCGTTCTCGGTCCCTACATGCCATGATCACTCGGCCCTGACACCGCAGCAGCTCCGCGGCCGTGGCTTTTCCAATGCCACTGTTTGCCCCAGTCACGATAATAGTTTTGCCCCGCAACATATCGACGCCTTCATCCAAATGTTTAGAATGGGGAATAGCTTGACTGTTGATCCTTCTGGGGCCATCAACAACGTCCAGGTCATGATCAGGTTTGTAGGCGTAAACAACCACACATGTGGGAAGTAACGGGAATGTTATTGAACTACATTACCCAGAATTCATAGCGGCTTATGTCGCAACCGTTTTTATACAGTCTACGGTCGCAACGCATGTGTATTGCTTTTTGGTTATATACAAGCAATGAAAGCACAAATCACATGTGTCCGCAGTAATAGATGAACAGGGATTACAGTTTGAGATAAATTAATAACATCTAAAAAACCTTGAAATTGCCTTTTCATTAACAATAGACATGAAGTTAAAATATAGCCTTTAGTAAAGAGCAATATGTTTAAAGAGAGAATAACCGCTTGTGTATGATTTTTTATATTTTTTATTATTTTTTGCTAAGAAGTTGCCACATAAGGACTACAACATTTGTCTAATTTGTCAAGTACATAAACTCCTAAACCTCTTTTCCTAAACCTATGTTTGTATTCAAATCTGTGTTTTAGGACTACAAACTAAATAGCTCTAGATAAACCACAAGCCAAATAAGATCACTCATTTATGTTATCATCATAATGAATAAATTCAGTGTTTAACAGTCAACAACACATTTTTGTTTTGTGGACAAAACAAAATTAAACATACATACACCTCATGGTAAACACACAGGGATAATACATTGTAAATACAATATATCAGTTTCTTCACACTCTTATCCTTATTTCAGTGTTTTAGTTCATTTATTATTGTGGCAAGGTCTGTCAGGAACACTGGTGGTGGATAACACACACATCAGTGAAGGAAACTGCCTGAGGATTGAGTCTGAATATCGAAGTACAGCAGTGAAGAAGTTACAACAAAACATCTAAATGTAGGTAAACATCTGCTAAATTTACCTTGAAGAATAACATCTTGCACTATAAATAAAATACAGATAGTTGCAATGCATGGACCCTGAGGGTGAGCGTGATTTGACCAAGTACAACATGTTCCTGGATCAACATCCTTGTTGATCCTGGAACATCATTCCAATCAGAATTGAGAGATAACTTTTCAGGAAATGTCAGTTTTAGGCTTACAATCAGGATTAGGCGCTTCTACACCCTTGTTAATCAGCTATCATTTCCCTCTGATTTTAGGAAAAAATGATGGGTAAGCATAAGTTTAGGGGTGGGGATTGGGTTAAGTATTTTTGAACCGTAATGTTGATCCAGGATCAACAAAAGATGTTGATCCAGGAACATGTCTGTCTTGGCAAAATCACGGCGACCGTTCCCTGAGATAGAATTAAATATTCTAAATTAAACTCTTGATTAAACATTTTAAAAAATCATAGTGATCAAGGCATAAAGATTGGTAAATGCATCTAATTGCACATTATTCTCTTTGAAAAAGAAAAAGAAAGGGCTGAAGCATGTAGTTTAACCTCACAGTGCTGACGCATTAGTACAGTACATAATATACTAGATCATTTTGAGCATCGTAGCTTCTTTGTATTTATATTTCCAGCAATCCATTTAACTTAAACTATCTGTATAGATCAAGGTTCAAAACTCTCTCTGATGCAACCAAATAAATAAATACAATTACCTATAACTTGCAGAGACTTTCATGCATGTGCTTCACTTCCCTGCTCATTATTAATATAAGTAAACATTTATATTTTAGCTGTTGTATAGATCAAATGTAAGACACTGAATAGGTGTTGAGGTACCTAAAGAATTGGGACGTTTGCATTTGATAATCAAATCTTTTCATTTTTTTCTGCATCACTTGTATCTATGCGTTTCACCTTATGATACTTCTGTCCAATCCCATAGGGCACATGAGCGGCGATTGTACCAAGCTCCTGGGCACCCTCGATGTGAAACATCTGATCATCAAAGAAGATGTGAGGCCTGATCTTCTGTAAGAGAGGCCCCTTAGGAGCCCCAGCCAAAAAGAGGGCCTCGTCTACCTCCAACCCCCAGCTCCGTAGGGTCTTCAGAACGCGGGCCCCAGCACTGGCAGCACTTCGAGCTGTGACGAGGTAAGTGCGAATAGGGCAGCTGTTTCTTTGGCTTTTTGCATAGAACTTGCGCTGGAGTTTACCCAGTGCTTCCAGGAAACATTTCAGGGGGCCCTAAAAGAGGATGATGCAATGCCAAATCAAGGATAAAAAGGACATTGCATGCTCCAAACACGACATGATGGAGAAAATATTAGTAACAGTATTAATAATGAACATTAGTAGTTATTAGTATGTTACCCAGTCTTAGTTTACCTGAGCAAGAGGCTTGTTCTCAAACTCTTTCTCGTGCCTAAAGAAAGTGTCCAATCCGTGTTCCTTTACAATAATCTCAGACTCGTCTGAAAACAAAACTGCATCTCCATCGAAGGCTACACGCAGTTGCGTGTCACTGAGCTCATTCTCACTGTCGCAGGCGAACATTGTGGCAGCTGCTATTCCTGTGAAAATGGCCATTTAAAGCAAATATAGCTTCATGTTCAGCTAATTTAAAGACTTTAAAGTTTTTCTTCTTCAGTGAAATGAAAATCCCATTTAGATCACAATGCATAATTTTTTTAAAATACCTTCTTCGATAGCTTCTTGTACCTTCTTTGAATCTTTGGACAGGTAGAGGTTGGTCATATAGGCCTTTAGGTAACCAATTGGACTCTCTCCACCCGTCATGCAAAATCTCTCTATAGTTAGATCTGCAGAGAGAATTTATGTAATTATTGTTTGTATAGTATGTAGAATGCAGTACATATGCATTTGCTTGCTGCAAACCTTATGAAACCTTATGAAAAAATTATGTAAATCATTGTAGCGGTCTTTATCCAAATTTTGATCTGTGTGCCTGCACAGACTTTTTTCCTTTTTCTTGGTGCATGTTGGTCTATGTCTGTGTAGAATAAAGATCTTTTAAAGAATGAAATGATGATCGCTATCAAAGGCTAAATTGTAGGCTAGTAAATGTTATTACCATAGTAATTGATGCTGTTGATGAGGCGAACTCCGACCTGGGCGTGATTATTAGTCATCAGCACAATATCAAACAGCTCCTCGCTGTCTGGGTATAGTTCTCTCAAACGAGCATTTACATTCATCAGGGCCTGTCGATTAGAAAAACACAGTAAATACTAAAGGCATGGCCCTTGATATCTAAGGATATCCACGTTAGGCAATACTGATGTGATTAATGGTAGATTAGTGTAACAATATATTATATTTTTTAACCATAAACTGTGGGCAGGACACAATAATGCTGTTATGTTTGAGTCTTGATTGTTAGTGTTTGAGTCCTGCCCTGCAATAAAAAGGACTAAAGTCCATCCATGAACAAAAGTGAAAGGACACATTTGTTTTCCATGTTGCTCTACAAATTTTCCCATAGATTTGCATCAGTGCAAATTTAATTGGCCCTAACTGGCCCAACCAGCTTATCTGACATGTGTCAGGTTCATACTGGAGTACTTGTGCTAGGGGTTGTCAGTGTTGGTTGGTTGATTCGTTCATTCATTCTTTTTTTTCTTTCTTACTATTTGTGCCAAAATTAATAGCTGTCAGTGCTAATAAACAATTTCTATACATATACACTATTCTTGTGTGACACCAAAAAAAAGGAGTTAGATCAAAGGTAATCAAATTATATTACCTAAAAGGTTTTTATCTACATGGTTATATTACTGAATACAGTTTTTAGTCATGTCATTTGTAATCAATACCAAAGGAGATTTCAGGAGTAATATACCTAGATGATGTGAACCGAGGTGTGTTGCGAGGTGCTGCTATAGAGTGCATCAGTCAGGTTCTGAACATAAAAAAATCCAATTCATTTTTTTCCATAGGAGAATTGATTTTGGATGATAATCTAAAAAGCCTGACCTACTGAGAGCTATGAGGTTGTAAATCGATGCTATATGCATGCGATGGTATATGTATGCATAGCTTTTAAATCTTGTTTAACCGTAGTATCCCTGCATGGTGAAAAGCTATATTACTCATGATTCTGCAAAAAATCTACCCAATTCAGAGTATTGAAACAAACAAATCATGACAAAAGAACTATTCAGAGTAAAAAGTTTTTCATTTGATTGTCCTTCACAATGCGGGATTGAAGCGATAAAGCTGTACACATACTTCAAACCAAAGTCTTCAAATAACAACTTAAAATAAAATAAAAATAATGGGAAAAATACTGAAAAGTTGGGGTGGCCACCATTGCACTCTATATACAATTGTCCAGTTGCATTACCTGTGGCATCGACAGGTGCTGATGGAGGTAGGGTGAGTGTTATGTTCAGACAGCGTTAGATCGTTTTGGAATATAGTAGTACCATTATTTTACATATTGTAGTTCTTAAACCTGTTGTTACCTTAACGAAAGGAAACGAGACCCCTGGGGTAAAAGGCTGGTCCTCGAGCTCCAGCTGGTGCGCGACGTACCTCTCCAGCCCCTCCTCTTCAAACACCTTCCTCTCCTTCACCATGTTAAACAGCGTTCGCGAGGACACCGCAATGGTTACAGCGTTGCTGGGTTTGGGCTGCAAGTTAAAAGCAAGCAAATGTTTACAATAGCTGTAGACGACAGCCAAGCTGCTCTATGTGGTCAGTTACCTGTAGCTATGTGCAGCGCTGCTGTCACTGGCGCAATGACGCACCATCGATTCTGCAAGCGAAGAACGCGACGCGCTAGAACGCGCTCGCTTTCAGTGTAGACAGCCATCTTTGGTATAATATAAGCTTTTTTCTAGAATTATTGCTAGCATTGTAGATTGGGTATTGGATGCGGGAGACGCTGCTGTCATTCACAGTTATTGTACACAAACAATCTCTTACCGGACGGGGCTTCTTCGTTGTTTTCGCGTTGTCAAATAATGCTTTGACAGCTGCCCAGTCTTTTTCTTCGCTGTTGTCGGAGTTGGACTGTCCTCCTCTCTCAGTGCCTTCAGGTTTGCTCATAATGTTATGGTGGCAGGGAGACTGTTGTGTCCTGCGTCCTTTGCTGCGGTAGTTGAGTTCCTCTCAGCATTAACACGACCCAGTGACGTCACAAGCCCTGGGCAAGCGTCTGACTTATCGATTCAAAAAGCTACATATATAAATAACTAATTAATTAAATATTTACATCGCTCCAATTTTTCATAATGCTCTAAAAGTGTCATTGTAAATGTACTTCACTACATCATTTAAATGTAACATTTATTTTGTCTGGAGACATATGTACTTTTAGTTACCATGTGTTGACATATCACAAATAGCCTAAATATAAAATAAGATAAAGGTTAGATGCTCATTAATCTGGAGCTATAATTGTGTAGAATTAGTTTATAATTACAGTATAGTAAACAATAACCCGCCTTTTACTTCTTATTTACATCTACTATTTGCCCCAATTAAATGACACATCTTGGTTTAAAAAAAATAAATAAAAAAACTTGTCCTCAGAGCAAAGGTTAAAAATACCTTCTTTATATGATTAAAAAAAAGAGAGAAAATATAGTGTCTTCATATTCTCTGTTCATTAATAGGAAGAATCCTGGACAAAGAAAAAGCCATTTAGAAAATGATTTATTGATTCATTTCACCATTAAAATATAATCACCAGCTCAACAATACCTTAAAATCAGTATTTGCCTTAATTTAATTTACACTAAGCCTTAACAAGACTGGAAATAATTACCAAATGTATCCTTCCTGACATTATAGATCATGTTGCAGAAGAAAGTATGGTGCTGTATGGTATTGTCACCCCTTTACAAATAAGATAGGCTTTATTCTCACTCATTCCTCACACCATAAGGTACATGGGCACCAATAACCCTATATCGAAGGGCTCCATTAACATGTGACATCTGGTCATCAAGGGATATATGAAGTTTGAGTGCTTTCAGCACAGGCTCTTATGGGCACCACTCAGAAAGAATGCCTCATTTATCTCCAGATTGTTCCCCCGAAGAGTCTTTAGGGCTCTGATTCCAGGACTACTTGTGCCACGTGATGTTACCAAGTAGGTACGGATTGGACTATTTTGCTTTTTTAAATTTTTTTTATAAATTGAACAGCTCCTGGAGAAATGCCAATGCTTTGAAAAAGTCTCTTAGAGGGCCCTACAATATAATGTGACACAAACATGTTATTGTATTTTTTTTTTTAGAGAGAGATATTTATTGCAGTTAAGACATAAAACAATTTATTTTTGACCTAATATCTGTGTATAACATGTGGCATGAATTTGATTACCACAGACAATTTCAAGTCACAATGTGTGTAGAGTAGAAGCACTTTTACGGTTAAAAATCTGTTAAAAGTTATAGAAGTAACATTTATGTTGTATTTTATACTGTAAATATTATGTATATTATTATATAGTATATTATGTATACTCCATGCACCTAATGGGCAGTTTCTCACTGCAGCACTGGATTTATGTAGTGAGTTTAACTTTTTTTTTTGCTTCATTCCACAGATTTTTCTCAAAATTAGCTTAGAAGATGTGGAAAAGTCTGCAGTTCAGTCTTAAGCCCTGTTCACACCAAGGACGATAACTATAAAGATAACGATAAAGATAAAGTTCTATAAATGGTTTTCAATATTAAAGGGGTCCTATTATGCTCTTTTACAAAGTCTTGATTTTGTTTTGGGGGTGGTCCACACCACAACTATGACGATAAAGGCACAGAGAAACCATATGTTGGAATCACTTTTAGAAAAAAAAATTTCCAGCTGATAAATGATAAAAAACATTGACAGCCAATCAGAATCCATCCTGCTATAACGAGCTCGAGAATTTAAAGGTGACATATCATGAAAATCTGACTTTTCCAGGTTTTAAGTGCTATAATCAGGTCCCCGGTGCATCTACCAACCAAGGAAACATGAAAAAGATTAACCCAGTAACTTTGTTTCGGTCAGCCTTTTTCTGCAAGCATCTGAGAAACCGAGCGCGTCTGATTTCGCTCCCTTGGTGACGTGGCAAAGGGATCTCATTATAATATTACCGCCCCTTAACCCTTAAATGCATGAATGTTTCGCCAATCATTAACGTATTGTCCCGAATATAAGACGATATTTTTTTCTTGGAAATACATCTGAAAAAACGCGGTCGTCTTATATTCAGGGTCTAGACTTTGACATGTCAATAATACACCCACAACACTAGGTGGCGCCAAATACGCATAAAACGAGTGTGCCATGAAATACGTAATGTAATGCGTGTTGTAAATATCGCGAGTAAAAACAAAAGAGAAAGAAAACCTTACAGCTGCATGAGGCATGACTGTCACGTTAGCCTGATGGCAACAAACTCCCTTTGTGATTTTAAAACGTAAGACAGTACCCAGATTTGAAGACTACAGTAAGATTTAACTTCTACTGTTAATAAGATTTCGGGGTCTTTAGCGACCCGGACCTATATATACAGCACGGATTGATCTCTAACTGCTGCAATGGCAAAAAACTCTCTTCATATTTTATGAACAATCACAGAAGAATAAAATAAAGCATATTTCGTTACCTTTTGAAACTTAAAAGGTATGCATTTAAGGGTTAATCTGTAAGTTTACACCCACAGCGCCGTCATTTGATTTCACAAGCGACAATGGTGTACTAGTTCTAATGCCATGGCGAAAGTTTGAGCAAAACATGCTAACTGTTCTGTCTTTGGCTGCACAGACCAGCACAGAACACTGTTTAGAGTCCCAGCCTCAGAGGAGACAAGAGAGCAGTAGATTTATTGATTTATTTACTGTATATTGCTGCTGCCACACAGATCTAAAAAAAAACATACGATTTATTTCCCAGCTGAGAACTTAGTTTAGTACTCACATGCTGTGACAGCCGCTTTGGCTTTGAGTGCACTCAGAAAACCGTATATCACAAGTTTAAACTCGGTGGGTTTAAAACGCATGATTTCAGCACGATAAACATGATAATCAGAACCAAAACAGATGTTTTTAGCAAGTCCGAGCTGTAATGATGCAGCTCTATTCAGGAAAAGGGGGCGGGGAGCAGCAGCACATTTGCATTTAAAGAGACAGGCCCGAAAAACAGCATGTTTTTGCTTCCACTCAAAATAGGCATTTTCAAGATATTATAATTTATCTGTGGAGTATTTTGAGCTGAAACTTCACAGACACATTCTGGGGACCCCAGAGACTTATATTACATATTGTAAAAAGGGGCATAATATGTCTCCTTTAAAGCAGCAGAGGAGCGTGCGCTTACAGACGATATCGTTCGATGGTGTGGATGCTAATATCGTTATCTTTATAGTTATCTTTATAGTTATCGTTCTTGGTGTGAACGGGGCTTTATGCTGGTTAAAAGTACTTGCAAAAATGGCTAAGAAAAGTGAACATTGTTTTGAGAATTCTTTCATAATGCAGCAGTATTGGCAATGCAGTATATGCTGTAGTGAGTAAGTAGTAATATAAAGGCAAACAGGGCTGTATACAGTTGAAATTGCTCTGTGACATAAAGTAAATGTTAAAAAAAAAAAAAAATTGAAAAAAAAATCTTAAGGCCTCACCTGCATTGATGGCCTCTTTAACATTTCGTGGGTTTGTGGACGGGTAGAGGACAGGCTTGATCTCATTAAGATGAACAAATAGTTTTTTTTTTTTTTTTTACCAGTAATCTCAGATTTGATCAATGTTCAGATCTGCACAGACAGCATCACAACACTGTGATTAGCAAAATAACATGACATCTTATTTTCTTCAAGTTTCTGTTGAAATAAAAGAAGAAATATGATTCTTCTTCAACAGGAAGAAGGATACAGGATAGTTCACAAAAAAACAACAACTTTTTGATCAAAATACAGTGTAAATGCAAACATCTGTATCAAATTAAACCATCTAGTTGAATAGCTTTTATATCTTTGCTAATTTTAACTAAGTTACAGTGCTGAATAGTGTCAGATAGAGAAAATAAGTCTCAGTGAAAATAAATCTCACATACACAATACAGTATATACAAAAAGCACTGGGTCTACTGGTAAGATGCATTACTGATTAATACAGACAATATGCTGTTAAAATAGAGGAAAATACATTTTCACTGTAATTTTGTTACCTTGACAAATGGAAAAGCAACTCCTGGGTAGATATATCCTGTCTCTTGCCTGAATAATGCACATGGAGACACAGCAATGGTGTATGGTGTCACTGAAAAACAAAGATGAAGGTTGGTTACAAATAATTGATTTTTAGATAATAGTACAACAGTATTATTAATTAGGAAACTTGAACACAGCTTACTTGTGAGTTCTGAGGAATGTTTTTGTTTTCACGATATTGACGTTGCTGCGTTTGTTGTTTGATTTCTGTTCTTTGCCTGCAACAAAATACATTTTAAATGGTAGGTGTGTCATATAAAGTTTTTTTTTTTTTTTTAATTCTTTGCATGAACCTTGATTTGTTTAAGGATATGTTGCAGATGTTCCGCAAAGTAACACACTGGAAAATAAGAAAACTGAAAGTTTTCAAAATAAAATGTGAATAATGCTGCCAGATTTTTATATATTTGGCATTCCATTTAAATAAATACCTTTGGTTTGTTGAATTCATTTAGCTATTATTATTAACATGTCAAAGATTGGCAATTCAACACATCATCACAGTTCAGCTAGTCATGACCATCTAGGTCAGCCAGGATGGGGTATTGATGGTCAGATCTTAACTTCACAGATCTCATCATTATAATGCAGACAAAGAATCTATTATTTAAGGAAGGAACAGTGCAAACTATTGATATCGGTATCTAGATCTATATCAAACCTATGGCCAATGTGTGCGTGTATGCGTGACACAGTGCTGTCCATTTTACATGCAAAGATGATGAATACAATATTCGTTCTATCAAGAGTATCTGTCACATGCTGTCTCTTACTACAGAAAATAATTATTCGTAACTCTGTATTTAAATATTAATAGATTTTGTGTGCAAAAGCATGTTCTTGGCCAACTGGAAAGAAGTGTGTGTTTTTTTTTTTAATAATACCATAGTATACTACTGTGATGT